TTTTGTGTGGCTGTCAGGTAGTCACAGGATCTGTATTTGAGTGCGGACTTTCCAGAAGAGCTGTAAATAGGCGGGCACCCATTCATCTGTAAATAAACCCACACCCTATGCTCTGTTAGTGAGCCCAATTAACTCAGAATTTTCCAACAACAACAACAAACAGAGCCAATGAAAACTTTCATTATTCAACCAAACTTGACCCCATGTTGGCAATCCTTTGGTCTTTGATTTCTTATTCCTATTTCCCCCACCCCTTAAACTTCATTTTTCATGTTTATGTATGTATTTATTATTTATTAATTTCTTATTTATTTGTGTAACACACTTCAAGCTATATCTGGAAAAATGTGTTGAAAACTGCCTCTCTTTTGAATAATAAAAATATTCCAAAATAAAAAAAGAAAGAGAGACAAGGACTGCACAAGATTATAGGGAGTCAGGAGATGATTCTGGATGCAGAATTGGCTCCATTAGTCTGGTAGCCCTGGAAAAATCATAATAAAGTAAGGATACTGGAGGTCAGCTTGCTGTTAGGATGTGGGTCTGAAATGTCCTGTGGACACAGGTTTTGAACTCTCAGTCTCCAGCTAGCAGCTTGATTTTGAAGGCTGTGGAGACTTGAAAGTAGGGCCTGACTGGTAGAAATTGGTAACTAGGGGCAGAACTTCGAAGGTAACCCTGTTCCTGGTTCCAGATTCCTCTTCCTCTTCCTGGTCTACCACAACACAGAAATCTCTGCCTATACTTCCTCTGCCATGGACTTTGCTGGGCTTTCCCCACCAAGATGGATTGGATTGTAGGAAACCAGGATGCCAGGCCCTAGGGTGAGGTGAGCCTAAAACTTGTAGGTCCAGGCTGCATTCTCTGCTAAAGGGAGGGGCACTGAAAACAGTGGCTCTGATAATCCCTGTCTTGCAGAACACTGCTAGACTGGCAGGAGGACACAGCCCGGTCCTAAAAGTGCAGGCTCCCTGCTCTGTGGGAAAGCATCTTGGTCAACAACCCTTAGCTTATCTCCTTGTCCTGAACAAATAACTCAGCTATCCTTGGCTGAGAGATTAGGCCAGGTTAAAGGTTTACTCCTGAGCTAAAAGCTAAAAGTTCACCATGCTTTTAGCTCTAAGAAAGAAAACATTGTGGCCAGTAAATTACTGGGTGGGCATTGATAACCTTGAGTAAAAGTTTAAGAATCCTTCTGGTACCAACTAACAGACTAAATGTCCTGTTTCTTTGTGCCCTAAATCTTTGTATGTGACTGCCATATCCCATGTGACTGCTAGTTCCTTGGGATGTATAAAAACCCTCTGAATTTTAAAATAAATTGGCTTGTTAGAAAGATTGTCCTCTTGGGAAGACACAGGTCTCAGAGTTTATGACTCTGTCGCCAATCAGACCCTCTGCCCTGAAGCCAGTAGGTCCCCACTAAGCAAAGTAAACCTGAGTCCTGACACTGGGGACCAAGCCAGTAAGCAGCTATTTTCCATTGCCTGTGCTTCAGCTCCTGCCTCCAGGCTCCTTCCTTGATTGCTACCTTGGGCTCCCTCAGTGATGAACTGTGACCAAGGAGAAGTAAGGCAAATAAATACTTTCCTCCTCAAGTTGGTTTTGGTCAGAGTGTTTTGACACAACAATTAAAGTCAAACTAGAACAAGATTTTATTGTGTTGAATCATGGTCTCTCCAGTCCTACACACTCTAGGACTTCTGCCATGAAGACTTGCTGGATTTTGCCAAAGACCTTTTCATTATAGAGACTTTTCACATCCTTGGTTAGGCTTATTCCAAGATATTTTGTTTTTATGGAGGCTATTGTGAATGAGAGTGTTTATTTCCATGACTTCTTTCTCAGCACACTGGATTTTGGTATACAGCAAAGCTACAGATTTTTGTAAGTTGATTTGGAACCTGCCACTTGTCTGAATGTGTTGATTAGTTCTTGTGGAATTTTGGAGATCTCACATGCACAATATCATATCATCTGCAAATAGGAATAATTTGACTATAATATTTTGGATTCATCATAATATAATTATTTTTCCCTCTGATGATTGCATAAACAATCTTATGCTACACTTAATAACTGGGAAAAATATGATGACATGTAAAAATGAAAATCTCACAGGTTATATTTTTATGTTCATTGACTTTCAAAAGAGATGGGCATAATCTGGTTGTCTTATAAAATAGAAGTAAATTTACTAGGAACTGGCCAAGTTTGTCAGATAACATCATAGACATCTGAGTAGAAGTAAAAGTTGACATGGAAATAAAAAGACCCAGCACTGTAAGAATTTTTTCCAATGTAATTTCATTTCAAATGGTGATGGTGACAATTTCAAAATAGAATAATAGCTAAGACTTCCAGGAGCTAAATTTATTTTTTCTAGTTTTCTTCTGTAGTTTGGCTTATAATTATTGTATACATTAACTTTATTTCTAAATTATATGTAGGATGATGAGGGTTTAAAGAGTTTTGTCAAAAATGGATTTTTTTTTCTAGGAATGATAAGAAACATGAAAAAGAGAGTAACACAAAAGGTATTGCTAAAAGGGCTGAAATTTTTTGAATCTTAAAAATCAAAAAAGCTATGAGGCCACTTTATTTCATTTATATAACTAAGTATTCATTTTAAACTAAGTAGAATTATTTATGTTTACCATAATAATAAGTAAAAGTAGAGATGCTGTTGATTTGTCAGAGAGGTCTTGATTTTGCTTGTATATACAAAAGGCTCATGACAATTTTTAAGGTAAAAATACAAAATGCTTGAGCAGAGATAGATTACGAATTTGCAATATTTCTATATTGAGTAGGAAACTGAGGCAGATTTTTTATATATGCACTTTGTTTAAATCTTGGCAATGTATATATGGTCATTTAAATTGACTATGTATTTAGAAACTCATTATCAAATATATCCTTTATCTATACTGATTAAATGTCTGGGAATATATTTTAAAAGATTGCTCAATTCTATGTAAGCAGAGAAAAAAAAGATTAATCAGAACATAACGACTTAGGACTGGTATTTTGCATCATTTGTATCTCAGTAGTTGAACATCAATCAGTGTGTTTAAGGAAATATTTTGAAGTGCAGTTAATATTATTAGAGAAGAACATATAAAACACAACCCTTCATGAGTTTACCATGTAGGTTATGTCTTTTGACGCATAAATACCATACTATTGCATTTGCATTTAGAAACCTCCATAGGACATTTTCTTTTAAATGAAATTTGAACTTGAGTCTGTATCTAGTAGCTTAAATCTTTAGTGTTTTCAACTTTATCCATTTCTATATTCTTTGATATTGTTTTTGTGAATTGTTCTGTGTTCTGTGACATTGTTCTGTGAATTTGTTAGAATACGGGTGTGGTGGTGCATGCCTTTAATTCCAGCACTCCGGAGGCAGAGGCAGGTGGATCTCTGTGAGTTCAAAGCTAGCCTGATCTACATAGTGAGTTCCAGGACAGCTGGGGCTACAGGGAGACCCTGTCTCAAAAAGACGAAAAAAAAAAAAAAAGAATATGAAGTCACACATTTGAGTTAATTATATCATTAAGATTCTAAAAACTTTCCATTTTTCTGTCTAATATGATGCAAAGTGATAAACGACAGGTCTGAGATCTACACATCTCGGTGGGCCACTCTTTTTAAAAAAATTTTGTTTGTACCACGTATATGTTAAAAAATTTTCTATTGAATTCCTGTGCATTTCATACAGAACATTTCAGTCAACCTTATTCATCATCTTCATAACCCCCTCCCCACCAGCATCCTCCCATAGGCTCACACTGGAATCTACACACTCTGTTATCTGTGCCAAGGCTGTGGACCACTCTTTCATTCTTTCAGATCATGCAAATATGAGTTAAGCCAAGTCCCCATCTTTAGCAAAAGTAACTATATTTGATGAGTTAGCCTTGTGAATATTTTACAAAATCGTAAGGATAGTACAATTAATATCAACAACGTAAAGCTAACTTCTTAGTTTAGGTGAATAGTTAATAGAATTTGAAAGTTAAATATTTTGCAGAATTGGGGATTCTGGGAGGAAAGGCTCTTTATTAGAGGAAGATTTGCAGTTGTGGAAGTATATGAAACAGTTGACAAAGGTGGATAGTTCTGTGTAACTGAACCAGACTATAGATTGGCCTTGAAATAGAAAATCAAAAGAACCTGCGTTTTAGTTCCTGTTTTCCAAGTTGACCCATCTTCTATCTCATAAGAAACATCACTGTAACCAGTCCAGGGAAAGAAGTGTAATATTAAATTAAAAAATGTTTCACAAAACACAACGGCATGAAATGACAACCACCTTTGTGTGGTCATCATTTCAAAAATCTTTGGGTAAATTATATTTTCTTCCTCAAGTCTTAGGAAGTTATAGTGAATTAATACTTTATATTATATTACATATATAGTGACATTTCAATATATGTTTATATCATAAAATCATTGAATCAGACTAATGAACATATGCATCACTTCATATACATATTTGTTGTGAACACATTTGAAAATCTACACTTAGTGATTTTCTAGCATGAAGCACACTGTGTTATGAATAGCCACTATGCAGCAAAATTCATCCCCAGGTACTAAAAGTCCTATCTCACTGTTTGTATCTTTTGGCCAACATCTGTTTATAACTTTTGGATTAATCATTTTATTGTTGTCTTTAATGGGCATACTAATTTATATTCTAACCAGCAATGTATGAGGATTTCCTATTTATATCTACCCCAAGCTTATTTTTGACTCTTTTGTAATAGCTCTTTCAAGAAGTATGAAATGATGTTACAGCATGATTTAAATTTATACATCTTTGATGATTAGTGATGTTTATTTGTTTACATATGTATTAGATTTTATATTAGTTTTAGTAAAAATGTGAATAAACTTTTATAATTTTGTGCCCCCCTATTACTATAATAACAAAGTTATAATTTATAGTTTTTTCCTTTGTTCTCATTCAGGTAGGATTACCAATAAAGCCAATGGAAGGAGCAAATCACTCTGTGGTATCAGAGTTTGTGTTCCTGGGACTCGCCAACTCTTGGCATATCCAACTACTGCTCTTTGTGTTCTTCTCCATGTTTTATGTGGCAAGCATGGCAGGAAACTCTTTCATTGTGTTCACGGTGGCTTCTGATTCCCACCTCCACTCTCCCATGTATTTTCTGTTGGCAAACCTATCTTTCATTGATATAAGTATTTCTTCAGCGACATCTCCCAAGATGATTTATGATCTGTTCAGAAAGCACAAAGTCATCTCCTTTAGAGGTTGCATCACTCAAATCTTCTTCATCCATTCCATCGGTGGTGTGGAGATGGTGCTGCTCGTAGCCATGGCCTTTGACAGATATGTGGCCATATGTAAGCCTCTGCACTATCTGACCATTATGAACTCAAGAATGTGCATCTCCTTCTTAGTAGCTGCCTGGGTGGTTGGCCTCATGCATTCCCTAATTCAACTAGCTTTTGTAGTAAACTTACCTTTCTGTGGACGAAATATGCTAGAAAACTTCTACTGTGATCTTCCTCAGCTCATCAAACTTGCCTGCATAGACACATACACATTGGAATTCCTGGTCTCAGTCAACAGTGGATTCATGTCTGTGGCCTCCTTCTTCATACTTATCATTTCCTATATTGTCATCATAGTCACTGTTCAGAAACATTCTTCAGGTGGGTCCTCCAAAGCTCTGTCCACACTTTCAGCTCATATCACTGTGGTGCTCTTATTCTTTGGTCCTGTAATATTCTTTTATACATGGCCTTCTTCCTCCACACACCTGGATAAGTTTCTGGCTATTTTTGATGCAGTTGTTACTCCTTTTCTGAACCCTGTGATCTACACACTCAGGAACCAGGAAATGAAGAATGCACTAAGGAGAGTATTCAGACAGCTACTGGGCTATAGACCAATCTTCTAAAACTACATTGTCAACAGTCTTAATTGAGTATAGAACTTCATTGTTCACCAACCTCAGGAAAAAACCTTTCCTTGACTATTTTGGTACGCCTATCTACACCCACATGTATGCTATTTTGTCCTTTATTTAGGAGGGAGGAACGATTTCTTATGAAAATAGAGAAGTCACATACACTATATAGCAACAATTATAATAATCACGAGTCTCAATTCCTAGGGAATATTTGTATGAAGTAAGGTTTTAGACATGCAGAAGAAGAAGGGTTGCATTCAGAAATTCTCCGCATGTCAAACTTTCCTTCTCTTTTTAGTAGGAATTTTTATGAGCAAGAATTTCCATGTTCTATTGAATAGGGTCATTTATTCCATGTTTTCACCTTTTACATATTCTCTCTCTCCTTTTGGGCATTTTGAGGCTTTGGAAGGAGGTTAGGATTTTGGGAGCACACACAGGAGTCTAATGTATGCATGTATTTTGGTAGAAGCTTTGTGAGACATGTTTGGAACAACAAGAAGGCACTTAGGAAATATGATGATTTTTCTACTTGATGAAGAGCTTATTATTCAAAGTCATGCAATTTACATTCACCTTTTCTTCTCATTTCCTCCACTTCACTTCAGTTTTACTTTATATGTTTCCAAATTACTCCATAAGGTTTTTTTTTTTTTTTTTTTTTTTTTCCGCTATTTGAAAGGTGGAAGCAACGCAATTCTCACCTTTCTCCCATTGTTTGGTGAAGCGTTGGTACCAAAGCACCATTGATTTCCCCAGGTGTGGAGCCAGTTGCAAGTATAGTCATTGTAATAGAAGTCACCAGGTTATCAGTCAGTAGCATTGTGGACAGCAGAAGCACTGAAGCAGACAGTGTGAGCTTATGCTTTCCGTCTGCTTCATGTCCATTTTCCCTTCCATAATCCTGGCTCCACTGACTTCAGTTCCAGAACAAGGTTCATTGGTAGCAGGTTTATCTGCATTGCTTGCTGACACTCATCTTTCAATAAAGTCTAATTTCATTAAGAAATTACTTGTGTGTCATTTGAGCAGTGCTACCTGTATGACTGAAACTTGAGTGATAGTGATCTCATTTCTGTTCATTTGTGGATTTCTATAATGCCTTTTCAATCTATGTTTCTTATACAACATTGTTTCCGGTTCAGGATTTATTACAGCAAATGAAAAGCAATAATGTGTTCATAGCATAGACCTCAGTAGTGTACCCACATGTCTCATCACTTAAAAGCAAGTGACCTGCTGTATTAGTGGTATAGTCTCAAAGTTGCAGTCACAATGTTACTTGGTGTGTCATATCTCATGGTGTTGTGTTGCTCTCCAAGAACATTCAGGAAGAGTCTATAATGAACTACAGAAGCAGTTGAGTTGCTCTTTTTTTTATATAGCTCTGATTGGCTTTCCTTGTTTGGAAGTTATAATTTTCATCCATAATTAATAAAAAAATTTCATTCACAGCCCTGGAGGTTTAGGAATAACAAGATCTCACTGTTCTTGCTAATCTTAGATTCCTTTAATAATCATTTTGCATAACATAACCAAACTATTGTATGTAATTCCCCAAGTTGATTTTCTTTTTTATTCATTTTGAGTGTGATGGCTTCTTGCTTTTATCTTGATTAATTACCTGCAACATCTGTAAGAGTTAAAGATAGAACCGCATGCATTTACACATGTAAACACACTTGTGTGTGTATGTGTGTATGAAAGTTCTTGAAGAAGACACACTACATTAAGCTTATCTTTAGAGAAGAAAGCAGGATCTTTGAGTTAAATGTCATAGAAAAAGACCCTACATGTATTCCAGAGAAAGTTTCATAAGTAATATATCACTTCACTAATGGAGCATTGTCCATACCTGATTTTAGCCCTATGTGCCAAATAGTTTCATAAAAATTGAAGTTTACTGTTCCAATGTCTGTTTCATCTGGGTTGCTTTAAAACTAGAAAAATGTGAAAGCAAATGTCTTGTCTGACATAGAAATGGTTAATACTGGAGGGTGAAAATGTATACCAAAAGAGAACTGTTAATTGTGATAAAATCTCATGATAGACTGTTAAAAAGAGGAAAACCCAGAAGGCTACAGTGCAACAGCAGAACACAGGTTAAAAACATTTTATTATAACCTCAAAGCAGAAGTATTTACACAGAAGGAAACGAATACTTTAAAATGAGAAAAATTAAACTATATTACTTATGGATTGATTGTTATTCACTAAATTATTTTTCATACAAGGAAAAGAAATATAATAAAGAATGCAGAGGAGAAATTCTTTATGGATTGGGGACAGTAAAGTGATAGGGTATGTCAGAGTAGACGCACTCATAGATGGGCTCAAAACTGTTTATATTATTTTACTTTTAATCTCAAATGCATGGTTTGTATTTTCTAAATATGTAATGATTCATAAAGAAAAGTAATATAAACTTTCACTGTGTCTATAACAATGTAATTTGTCTTTCAGGTTTTCAAATATTCAAATTAATTATATTTGTTTGTAAATATTCAGCTGGCTAGTGTTCTAATTCCTTATTGTGATAAAAGTTTACATTACTCCAAACATTATATATAACACTTTAACAGTACATGATTAAGCCTTAAAAATACATTTGGACCTAGAAATTTTGCTAATGTTATCAGAAAGATGTAATCAGATACACCTATTTATTTGGAAGTATTTAAAAATATGTTCATTATACATGTAATGTCTAATCTTCCTGTCACCTTGACTAGATTTGGTATCATCTAAGAGACATAACTCTAGGTATGCCTTTGAAGACATTTCTAGAGCAGTTTAACCGAGAACAGACCAAACAAGAATACAAGTAGTACCATACCAGTGTCTGAGACTGAAAACTGAATAAAAAGGAGAAAATCAATGAAGCATCAACACTTGTCTTTCTTTGTTTCCTGGTTCACTGAGATCTGAGTACAAACCACATACATGTTCCTTCTGTCATGAGCTCCTCCATACTTTTCAAACCATGATAGATTTATCCTCTAAAACCATAACTCAAATCTTTCCATAGCTAAGTGATTTTTCAAAAATTTGGCCATATATTTAGTTATAGTCATGAAAAAAGTAGTTAACACCAAAAATTGGGTTTAGAAAGTGGATTGTTGCTCTATCTCACCATGTGGTTTGTGGGTATTTGGGACTGGTTTGTGGGTGGAATGTAGAAGAGTTTGGACCATGGTCTTTGGAGCCTTGAAGTGTTTTAAGTAGAGCTTAGTAGGCCATTCTGGTGGGAGTGCATACATTATAATGTTGTGAAAAAGGACCTTTGATGCTGTGCTCACAAGATTTCAGAGATGAAGAGGGATTTTTTTCAGTAATTGGATACAGGCCTTTCATATTGCATTATAATAACTAACCAGCAATCTTTTGGCCTATGTCCTGATATTTGTGTGATGCTGAATTGAGAATTAATGGACTAATTTGTTTGATGGAAGAAATTTCAAGGCAGTGAAAAATTTAGGTATGGCTCAGTTATTACTGATTTTGAGTTTTATAATGAGAATTCAAAGCAGGAAGACAAGGAAAATGAGCAGTTTGGTGAGAAAAGGAATGGGAAATGGTTAACGTTTTAGACAGAGTAGACAAAGACATTGCCAACAAGCCAAATGTAATTGTTAAAAAGATTAGCACAATTAAGGATACATCTTGAAGCTTGCCCTGGAACAACACAAAAAGTAGTCTGTAGTTAAAACCCAACACTTTGAAGACTCTGGTTTGTAGAAGTGTTAATTCATTTCAACGGAGAGAACCTGAACTGAGATGCCACCATAGGGTTATGTTACTCTAAAATGGCCTCTTAGAGGAGCTTTTTCCACATGTAGTGGCAGAGATACCCAGGGTCACAGCAACTATGTTCCAAAGTAGCCAGACTACATCTCAGACTGACTGTAAAACTTAGCATAGTTCATATGGTGATGATTTTGCAACATGCAAAAATGTAAGAATTATGGGGCTGTAGAAGCTCTTACTGATTCCAGAAATCAGCAGAGACTAGGCAGTGTGTAGCAGGTCAGAGTCCCTGCATTGATCACAATAGGCGACAGCACATGGTGTTGTCATGGTGAAGCCCAAGTTTTGATAGAAATCCCTAGATTTTTTTTTTTTTTAAGTAAACCTGCAGGCACTGATCAGAGATGGCTAAAAAGGTCACAGTACTCCAAAGCTGGAAGGAAAGAGTGGCATTAAGTCCACTGTAACGTTGATGATGGCATTATCAGCACCGGATGCCAGGCTTTTAGTTGAAAAATTTGATCTTTACCATTCTGGGGTTTTATCTTACTTTGGCATTATTTTTCCTTGCTGTACTCCCACTCATCCATCTTGGAATAGGAATGTTTACTCTGTTCTATTGTATATTAAAACTGTGTGCCTTTTATTTTATTTTATATTAAAGGACTTACAGTTATAAGATTCAATTGAGTCTTGGAAAAGGCATTGAACGTTACTGTATTCAACAAGGTTATAACTATTAAGGCATTGGTGACTCTTCTGTTTTTGGTTTATTGAGACAGGGTTTTCGTATAGTTCCACCTTGCCTGGAACTCAGTACATAGACCAGGCTGGCCTCGATCTCACATATTTACTTGCCTCGGCCTCCTGAGTGATGTGATTAAAAGTGTGTTCCACCATGTTTCGTTGACATTGGTTATGAGATGGCCATAAACCTTTCAGACCAGAAATAAAATACCATTCAAAAGTAATGTGTTTGGCTGTCAGGTTAACAGTAGGTAGACTTGTGATGGGTAATCCTTATTGTCTACTCAACTTTACTGGATTTGAAATCCACTATGAAGGTAACTTTAAGGACATTTTTAGAGAAAGGAAGAGGCACCTGAATGCAGGTCAGTACTGCCCCATTTCCTGGGGTCCCTAACTCTATAAAAAGGGAAAATGGGGAATGCCATTTGAACAGTGGGATGAATCCAAGTGGAAAAAGGAGAAAAAGCCAAGCACTGGCATTCTTCGTTATC